CATAAGTATTACTCCTTACAATCCATTTTCAAACCAGAAACATTTGTATGCCTTTTGAAGCTATGGGAGTCACTGGATTCATACAAATCCATTGGAGGTTCAGTCAAAGCATCAGGTAAGACTGAAAACTGAAGGATTCTATATCAAAAGGCCAAATTTTCTGTTTTGCTGAGAAAAAAAATACATTTGAAAAACGAGTCAAAGCATAAGCTGCATGATGCCCCATGTATGAGGCAGTCAAAACCTTTGTAAGCCAAAATTGGCAAGGGCAAGGTCACTGAGGTCCTTGGCAAGTCCACCTTGCAGCTCTGAAGGACACCTGACTCTGTGAGCCCTTAAATCAAAACACTAAGCTACAGTTTTCCACAGATTTGTCTTGCAACCAGTTCCTGAGATGAGCTTTAGTCAAAGGACATTAGGACCTATCTGGTCACCCAGACCTTTTGTGTATGGATTTGCCACTGTTTAACAAGCAGTACATATTATGCCACAGGCTTCACATGCTCTATCATTTATCTCAAAAATATTGGTTATTGACATTCTTCTGAAATACACCTTTTCTGTGGGGCTGCTCCAGGGAGGAAAACAGGTTACTAGAGATCTCTGATCCCCTGGAGAGCAGCAATGCAGGACTGCAATGCAACATGGGGGCTGTTGTGCAGTCTCTGCAATGGCCTTGCACACACTATGAGCAGGAACAGACTGAAGCAAAGGCCCAAACTGCCTCAGAAGAGCTTGGACTTTTCAGGATGCCTCTGCTGCAGAGAAGCAATGATGTTTTACAGGTCCAGCAGTTAACCAAAACAACCACTCACAGCTGAAAGCACAATCATTAACACCACTCATCACTGGATTTCCACATTACTCTCTATTTAATATTTGATGAATGTATGTATATATAACCCATGTCATACTTAACAATTTTTATTTATAGTCTTTTATTTTCAATGCCTTGCTGGTGCTTTTAATGAATGCACAAGTAAACCCAGTACTCTCAGAAATCAGCACACAATTGTAATTCTTACTCTTCTCAGTGGTGTGTGGGCAATTTGCTCTTTGACACTGGCACACTCCAAGTCTGTCAAGGTCCACTGAACGCCACAGGACACCCACTGGACCTCGCAGGGGCACCCTGACACTGCCATTCAGTCTGCTGGTCACGCTGTGCAAACAGGTAATTCACTGCCATCTCCTGGCAAACTGCTGCCCGGGAGCTCCCCAACTGAGAGCACTGAAACACGCCAGCTGACACCAGAGCGACTGCAGAGGAATCACACTTAAACCTACAACATCACTTAAAGAGTGGTGGCAAAAGGAGCACAGACTGCAAGGACGCCACCGACTCACCATCCCTTTCTCTCCCTCCCAAAATTCACCAACATTTGGACAGAACTTCAGGAGAGAGCTCCCAGCAAACAAAGGAACCTGGTGAGAACAGCAGCTCACAAGAGTATCGTGTCCACACCATGACACACAACAGAAGCTGTGGTGCCCAACCAGCACCCAGGCTTAGAGCTTTTCTCTTGGAAAAAGTATCAGAAGACTTGGAGACCCCTAAAACGGGAATTGTCTAGAACGCAGTTGCTGTAACAAATCTTATTAATTTACCTACAGCAAAACAATGTTTCCCTGCCACTTTAGGGGAAACCAGGACCTGAAAAATTCACATTAACTCTTATACAGAATCTGATGTGTTTGCCCCAAAGAAAATTCAACACTTTCCAGGCAATTTCCAGTGAAAAGGACTGAAAAAAATTCTTAAGTTAAACTGCCTTAATAATATAGGATCATTTAGAGTACACATAAAAGCTGGTTTGCTTTAGGCAAAGAGAATGAAGTTGAGAAAAGGACCACTGATCCAATTACCGTACAAAATTAAACCAGTAGCCACACAGGTGACATTTCAGCATTGCTGTAAAGCCATCATCACACTCTTGCAACTTGACACTAGACCAATTCATATTATCAAACTGAATATTGAAAGCACAGTCTTGCTCTGGTTCATGTCTGGATCATTACAGATCACTGTACAGATGTTTCTGCTCCTTGTGTTCAGCAGCAGGGTTGCACTCCCTCTGCTCTACTTCACTTTCCCATTCTTCTGCCCTGAGACTCTTCCCAAGGAAAGTGCTACTTTTTAAAGTATTCCATTTACACAGCCAGGAACAAGAATACTGAAGTGAACTCTTATTTGTATTCCTGCCTGCAAAATCCACACCCAATATTCAGTTTTGAAATCCACCCCAGATTCCCCTTGGTAGCTTTAGCTGCTCCAGGAACATGAGTGCAGTAAAGCTCAATGCTGACACAAGCATGCTTTACTCCTCTCCTCACACCATGACACACCTTACATAGCAGATTTTAGAAGGTGCTGTATGAAAAACATTATAAATGGCATATTATAGACACACATTATACACCAACCAATGCCAGTAGCAGCTGCCACTTGACTGATTAAGACTTCCCAGACAGATTTGCCTAGCAGCCCTCATAAAAACTCCAGATTTTCTCAATTTCTTCAAGGTATTAAGGAATCACTTGGAAGGATGATATTCAGCACATACTGTCCTCAAGTTCACACATCTTAATTGAATAGAAAAACCAACCAGCCCCAGTTTTTCCAAGGCATCTTAAGGAATCACTTGGAAGGATGATATTCAGCACATACTGTCCTCAAGCTCACACACCTTAATTTAAGAATAGAAAAACCAACCAGCCCGTTTTTCCAAGGCATACTGACAAAATATCCCATGAGCTACCTGATGAGCACATGGAAACACTTGTTACTATCACTGCCAGGCCAGTTTGAAGGGATTCACTTTCTTAAAACATTTTAAAGCCTCAATATTTTTGCCATTTCTGGTAGTTATTAGATCTCTTGCTTTTTACTCACTATGGAATTAGAGAGAAAGGATCTCCACCTAGCTTTAAAACTACATTATTGGTTGTTGTGTTTAGTATTTGGCTTTGTTGATTGACAACTTGCAGCCACTACAGGGAAGTCAAAATGCACTACCTCAATTCCACAGTGACCCTCTTCAAACAGGAGATAACTAAAATTCAGTGCAGGTTCAGCTGAGATCCTGGCATTCTGTTTCACTAAGGATTTATTTCTCTTAGCATTTCAAATCTGAATCTGAAGTCCTCCTACAACATTTTCAAGAAACACTCTCCACAAATAATTAGTATTTGTTTTGCATTTACTGACAGACCATAAATAGATAAAGTCTGGTCAGTTCTACCTTTAAAACTGCTCTGAGTTTGCCTCCTTTCATTCTGACAGCAGCAGAACCATACAAGGTATATGTGCAATCAAATGAGCAGTAGAACATGTGGAATGAGTAAACATGGAAATTTTTTGCCAGTTTTAAACCCACATTTCTACCACCCCTCATCTTCTCCTCCCCTTACCTGAACTCGCTCACAAACTGGTGGTGCAATGCAGGAACTCAACAACACGCTGGGAATGGTGGTTTCAAAGTCAACTCTGCTGCTATTCTCAAAGCCTGCAATTTCTTCACTGAAAAACCTCGAGGAAAACTCTGCAATCAATGAAGCAGGATGTTTTAAAAGCAAGGTGTGCCAATTATACTTTAAAAGCTCAAACAAGTTACAGCAGGTGCTCAATGGTTGTATTTATTCATACCCAGTATGGAATTAGGTACTTGCAAAGCAAGACCTTTCAAGCTACTGAGTGTTGGTACTTCCACTCAGGAGTATACTGAGTGCTACTGATTTGAGGCCAAGATGGAAATGTCTCTGTAACCAGATGCAATAGAACCAGAGGCAATAACTGTTACAGTTCCCAGTTGGTCCTCAAATCAATATTTAACATAGCTTACTCTCAAATGTATGTTCAAAGTAACATAGTTCAGTCCCTAATGTATGTTCAAGGATGAAGTACTGACACCTTGCAATTCAATAAATGATTTTATGACACAGGAAAGCAAACTACTGTGTAAGCCTAACAACATCACAGATACTGCTTAAGAAAAAATATAAGGTCAATTAGAACTAGACTGAATTAATTTTATTTCCTTCCAAAAAGAATAGACACTAATTTAACTGTATACAGAATTTAATTTAACTATAACTATACAAGTTTCAGTATATTGTCCTGTTCAAAAACTGCTTATATATAAAAGAAAAAATACTGCCAAAATTCTAACGCAGACTTTACAATTAAATGTCCCAACTTTCTTTCTACTCCTAATAACCTCAGACTAGAGTTGCAGTGTTCAGATTATGTATGGATGAAAATTCCCTTGGTCTTAAGTGCAGTTTCTTTATTACCCATGTTTTTGCCACTACCACCAACACTGGACTCAAAATTAAGTTTTACAGTATTAGCAATGAAAACTTTGATGAACCTTTTAAGAACAGAATTCAGAAAAAGATTAACAACATTTTTACTGCATTAAAATATGTTACATGCCTCTAAAACTTATGCATTTCTCTGCATTTTCTTCTGTTTATTAATCTGTCACATTTTACTATAGTATATGCTAAGTTTTCTTTGAACACTTGAACAAATGAGAAGTAACCACTCTTAGTTAGACCATCAAAACTCAACTCCATCTAGTTCTCTTAGAACTTCAAGTTCTTGTTTTGAAACAAAAGGCGTCCAATAAGGTTCCAAGAATTTTTATCATTACACTCAAGCAAGTTAGCCAAAAGAAACAGTTTCTTTTTTTTCCTGGTATGATCACCCAAACCCTACCATTCCTCCACTTTCTATTGTTACTGCATTTAAACTGCCAACATTCCTTACCTTGACTAAAAAAAAGGTTGCCATTTAGTTATTTCCTGTACTGTTTTACCTAGTTGCTGTCCAGGCACACAGAACACTCCCCACTACACTGCCAAGTCTCCAAATCCATGGTTCCAGTTAATGGAAGTCTAGGTCACTCAAAACCAGAATTACAGTCAGCAGTTCAGTTTAGATATACCACCTGATGTGGTATTAACTGCATCACAAATCACTGTAATTGAATGCAAAGTAAAGGAAACTTGAGTTTATTTAGCTTCCAATTTCTGGGAGGTCAAGAGGAACTAGAACTGCTCTGGACAACAAAAGAAAATTGACTGCGCTTACAGATCATTTTCTGCCAGATTCTTTCTTTAGGACCACTGTTTTATTGTTGTCCTTTCTATTACATGGGGGATGTACATATTATCAGGTGTTAATAAACGGTCAGTGCCTGTACAATACATTCTACAACTGAGCACCACTTTCCGTAACTGAACAGGCAAAGAAATTACACTGAACATCAGCATCTGGCAGTATTTCTCCAAAAAAAGTGACTAAAATGGGTTTAAATTGATTAACACTATTAAATCACATCTAATATTTGATACTACATGATTTCATTACAGCTATACGATACAATTATACAAAATGTGTTAACATCAAAGAATACAACCAAAATTAAGATAGCAAACAAAACCTATATAACTTTTCTTTCTTTACAGGAAAATACTTTTGAAGTATGCATGTAACTGCCCATTCTTTTAAAGAAAATCTACCGCAAGCAAGTTATCAACCTCCAGAAAATCACACATAGCATTACTACGCATATCCCCAAAAAGTGTACAATATGCACACTTGGAAAATACAAAATTAAAAAAAATTGTAAGCAACAGGTGAGCTTCATATTTATAAGAATGTGAAAAGAAGTCCAATTTTAGCACTGTTGTATAAAGAATTGTCTTTTCTGATGCAAGTTCGTGAGCTGTCCCGTCCGGTTGGGGCCACACTTTACAAAACACGTGTTCTTGAAACGCGGTTACAGAACAAGGTGGATCATCTTAGCAATGTCACCTTCAAGTTTTCTGTGTGGTTTTTTTTTGCTTTTTATTTACTACTTATCAAAACACGTCCTTTAGTTTTGTAGGGTCCTTTTTTTTTTAAAATTCTTTCCTAGAAACAATATACAAAGGGGAGCGTATTTCTTTCCAATTGATTTTCCTGTAAGATGCTTTGAGTTCGATAACGTTCTCCTCAACTTTCACTGGTTGTTTTTGGCCTTAGCGTGTGTTAAGATGTGAGATTTCAGGTTGGTTGATTGCGCAAACTTCTTATTGCAGCCGTCAAACGGGCAAACGTAGGGCCTGTCGCCAGTGTGAATTCGCACGTGTGTGCGTAAATTGAAGTCCAGTGAAAAACGCTTTCCACATCCTTCAAACGTACACTGTTGGAAGGAAAAGAAACACTCTGTTAGCTAGTGGAACTCACCTCCATCACTGAGCAGAAAAACAGTCTTCTCTAATTCACTAGACTGCTGAACATGAAGCCAGAGGCTGAAAATTGTAGGGATCCCCTGTGAACTGCACTAAAAACTGCAAGACTTCAGTATATAGTGTATATACAATAGCATACCTATTTTCAGAGAGGGAAATAAATGACCTCCAGCATGCAAGCAAGCACTTCCACTACAGACACCTTCTCTGCATGTGAAACATGTATGACAAAATAGAAACAGGATTTCACATCAGAACTTCCCCCTTTGAGTGATGATTTGCAAAGATTTTCTCATTTTACCTGCTTTACTTTTAAGATGGGCTTGATATAAAAAGGACAGCACATTTAGTGTTACTTTTATTTACCACACAGAATATTCAGTATTTTGTATGCAATATGCAGTATTCTGTATTCAATATTCAGCATGCATCCAAGTGAATGCCTGAGGACTGCAAATCAAGTTTCTGAAATAAATTTATTGTTGATTATTTTAGAAAAGACCCACATATCTTAACTATGTCCTGGGGAACACATATGCGCTGAAGACTAAGAATAACTTTAAAGACTTACAGGGAGTATGATATGAAGAGGGCAGGGGACCTCTGGTGGCAGAAGCCCACGTGACTCAATATAAATGGAAAGAGATTCAGTGACTCCATCATTTTGTTGAAAACTGATTAACAAACCCTACTGAAAATTAGTACCCTGAGGTAACTAACTGAACAAGCAGCCCCAAGTCTCAGTTGTCCACAAGCACTAAGCTGAAAAGATGATGAGGATAGACATTTTCTTACTTCTCTAGTAACTGCAGACCTCATTTTTAAACAGGGCAACTTTACAGCATCTTTTGAAAGGTATCTCCCATGTACACTCAGTTTGCCAATTTCTAAGAGAAGTCCATGTAAATAATTAAATGATAGCCTAATTAACTCAAGGGCACTCCCAGTTTGTCAGGTGCCTCATGAGATTTCAGAAGAGCCCTAGTATGCCCAAGTCCTGAGGAAGCCAGGGTACAGCTAGGGTCTCCAGTGTTCCCAGGGAGGTGGTGGCCAGCAGTACCTGAAAGGGTTTCTCTCCGGTGTGAACTAGCTGATGCCGCTTTAGTTTCGAGCTCTCCACAAAGGCCTTGCCACATTCTGCACATACGTGTACTCGAGGGCCATGAGTGTGCAGATGCTTCCCCATGGCAGAGTTGTCCCTGAACATCTTTGTGCAGCCCTTAAAAAGAACAGTGAAACTCAATTAGTAGATAAGTTAGTTCTCATAAAGGTTTTATCTGCTACAGTACAAGCATTTTAAATGCTTTTATATCCTCAATACTTTCTTAATAGTTGGCCCTGAAAAGAACATCCCTTACATTTACTTCTTAAAAAGCAATACAAGAAAAACTAATCATTTGAAAAGCTGACAAAATAAAACCTAAACCCAATCCCAAACAAAAAGATCCCAAACCCTTTCCTCACTCAGTATTATGAACCATGTGCAGTCAAATGAATAACAGGACAGTCTTATGGAGAAGATGCAGACTCTGACAGAAGCAAATGAAAAAAACAAACAAAAGCACTTAACAGGTTTCAGAGGAAAAAAGCAAACACAAAACAAAAATCCAATCAAAAAAAAAACAAAAGACAGAAGGAGTGTTCATGGATACCTATGGTGTACTCTTCAAAGTGCTGAGAACTACAGTACTGCAATATATTAGTCTCTAATATACCACAGATTATTCCCTAGTACCAACTGGTATGCGCACTATCCCCCAACATTCTGTCCTCTTCCTTCTCTGTCTTTCCCATTTCTGAAAAAAAATGGAGCAAGAGGGTTTCCAGCATGTAACAACTTACAGGAACTACCTTGTCCAAACTGTCAGCAGCAGCCTGACCACTACCCCCTTGAGACAGAGAGTGCCACTGCTGCTGCAGATTAAACCTACAAAGTGATACTGGGCAGCAGAACACAGCGTGAGTTAGTCCCAGCTCAATCCAAAAGCAGAAGACACATTAATTCAGGTACAGTTAACCTGGGGGTCAACCCTGCACTGACAAAGGAATACCACTTTTGATTCCAGAGTATGCTTAAGCCAGCAGTGACTTGGGGCTCTATTTACCTAATCCTTCTACATTTTTTCCGCTTCTTAGTGACAATCAACAAATATCTATCATATGTTTTATAAATAAATGTCTTCCTCAAGGTTCAAAATAGCTCATAAAATCCTGTTCATAATCATAAATCCTATCTGTAGTACTAGTGATGCTGTTTAAACTTTTATATATATAAGACTAGTCTGCCAACACCGCTGTGTTAAAATTTAACAGTACCTAAAGGACTGTAAAACTGCTAATCTTAAATTCTGCAGGCTTTTTTTTTTTCTCCTAAACAAATACATTTAAATAAACTTTGTTTCTTACAAAAAAGGTGAAGTATCACTTTCAGGAGTTCTCTCTTCAGGCACTAAAACATCTTTGATTTTGAAATATTGTGCCACCATTCGCTGCACATAGCAAAAGTGGGTGAGGCAAAGCAGTGCCAAAGTAAACAGACCATCAACTTTTTTTTGCATTTCTTTCTAAGTTCCTTCTTGCCTCTGAGAGCAGCAGGTGCAGCTACAATGTTTTTCTTTTGTTAAACTGAATTAAATAATAGAATGCCTAAAACCAACAAGCACTACAAGATAGAAAATGGAAGGATAGAACATTCTTTTTTTCCCCCCCATTTAGATGAAGTTGAGGCTATGAAAAAGTAAATCAAAGAAATGAAGGTAACATTCCTCAGTATAGTAAAAAATAACTGTTCCTGTATCTCTGCATACTGCATTACAAAAAAAATGTCACTTTCAGAATGTGGAGAATTGGAAATCAATATAAGCACAAAGAGGAATTCAGAATTTATATGAATTCAGAAAATTCCTTATACCAGAAAGTAGCCTTCTATTCATGCTCTCTAATAGATAATTCTAATAGCTATCTGCCCTGATTATTTGCTTAGGCTCACACTTATCTAGACCAGAAGTCAGCAAGATTGTGTTTGTCTTTTTTAGTCACAGACTAAATCAGCTAAAAGAAGCACTACAAAAGCTGGATAATGCAGTAAAGCCACAGGCTACCAATCCAGGTGACTGGCAACATTTATTCAAGACAGAAGCTTCCTTGCTACCAGTGGATCAGAATCATATCTCAAGGATGCCTGCCTCTCTCTTTCATGATGATGCACTTTCCAGCTCTGTGGAATGCAATTCAGAGTCTTCCAATAAAGCTGACTTTGGCATCTGCACCATAAATTGCTGATTCCTGATCTAGACTCCAAATCTGTCATAGTTTCCAAGCAGAGGATATATAGATCTTAGGAACGTACTTTGAACAGCTTTCAGAATATTCTTTCAAGTATGTATTCTTGGGTGTCGGGAAATCACAACAGTAAAACCAGCATGTTAGGGACTGTGCATCATGGTTACCAGAAGATTAGGGATGCACTAACCTTAAGACAAGGAATGGGAATAATATATTATTCAGTGAAAGGTTTTAAAGGAAGCCTCTAGAGAATGACAACTAAAATACATTTAACTGAGTGTATACTATTAACAGTAAAATATTTTAGTTATTCATTCTCAAGAGAAAACATCAATACAAAAATCTGATCTACAAATTACTATCTACTCAGAAGCTGAGCACTTCACTTACTTTGTGAGGACAAGCTATCGTTCGTGGAGCATCATCTTCTTTAATTTTTCTTGGTTTCATTCTTAAAGATAAAAAATACAGTACAAAAATATTAGTAGAAACACATTAGTAGACAGCTCTTCTCCCCAAAGTGCCCACATAATAAGCATATTTTATCCCCCAGTATTACATGTGTCAGTGGTACTCACTTTAACATTTTCAAAACCTTCATAAAAATATTATCAGTATAATTTAGCTTTTGGAATGCTCTGCTTTCCAGAAGGACCTCTCAAATACAGAATAAGACATTTAATACTATCTTTTTAATCCTCTGAATACGTGGAAATTGAGATTTTTTTTCCCCCTGACATACGCTAATTGCAATTAGGAGGTTTTGTTTGAAAACTCCATTTGTGCTGTGCCAGTATACCCATGTGACCTATTTAGCTTCACTTCCTCTCCATCCGTGCAGGACATGAAGGAGTATAGGTTCAATCATTCTACAGTATTTCCATCACACAAGACTTCTAAAGAAAACTCTATAGAAACAGGAAAGCAGAATCAGGCAGGTTGTGGAATCCACACACACAATATAGACAACCATTTCAACCACAGAAATGGTAATTACTCTTACTTTAAGGTATTGTGCACACAGATTCCATTCTTGGCAACTGACAAGAAATCACCAATTTACCCCGGGTCACTGACAAGGATCCTCATTATTTTATGGGTGCCACTAACCTCCCTTGCTACATAAGGAGCCCAGCAAACTATTGCTTGTATGTGTTAGGTCTATTTTACATACAGTAAGACTCTGTACAAAACAATCCTGAACAACCATCTGTCAGAAGAGCCAGATGTGATTCGAGGGAACTGCACTGCACTTTCAGCTGTCTTTATTTCTCAAACCTGTGGTGCTGTGTTCAAAAAATTATAAAGAAAAGGTTTATCTCCATCTAACTAAAGTGGCAGGTGGGTGTAAATAAATGGACCTCCATGGAGCTGAGATTCCCTCAGGTGAGCAATGAGATTTTGCACATCCCAAATCTTGCTGTGGAAGCAGAGCTAGTATGCTCATGGGGGTTACTGAACTGCTTTTCCTGGCAGTACAGCACATGGCAGTTCTGTGTGACAAAGGGAAGCGCCTACATATTGTATCTGTAAATTAATCCACAGGTTTGGTGGTGTTCCCTAGCCTCAAATAGAAGGAGTAGCTTGACATCAACAAAATAACTGGAATTATCTGAATTCCAGTTCTGGTACACACTCTTCTTAAATGTTAAGAAGGAAAAGTGTCTGTTGCTATTCACGACAGTTTTAATCCGCACGAGTTCTGTTTCTGGAAACTGATGTAAAATAACAAGGCTGGGGGAAGAGATTTCCAAGCAATGCATATATATGTACTTTTTTACATCCCTTTTTATTAATTTATAGGAAAAATAGCTAAACAGCAACTCTTAAACACTCAAAAACTTCCCAAGAGCTGTAGGGAAAATAAACGCATCCATTCTAACCACAAACGCATTCGGTTTCTGCAAGCAGAGTCCAGACTTCTTTGGTACTGTCACACTCTTATGGCTGAAATCTGCTTTCACCTTTTTCCTTCACATGGACTGCTGAGAGAAGATGGTGAATTAAGGCAAGAGCAGTGAAAAAATTCCCTCAGAAGTCCTGAAGACCCAGGAAAATCATCTTACACTGCCAGTGGAGTGATATGTGACAGACAAGTCTCCCATGGCTCTGTCAACCATCACTGGTCCCTGACTCTGAGTCCTTTCAGTAGTGCAGATGTAGCACAGTTCAAGTGATCATCTACAGACTAAAGCACTTGACAGCCACTTCACAGACATCTCTAAACCCCAAGGATTTAGAGGCTGCTTTTGCTCTTTTTTCTAAGTGGGCACTTGGGAAACTCTTGCTTGCCTCAGCATCTCCAGACTACGCTTGGCAGGTACAGAGCTATCCTGAAGAACACTACAGTCTCCTGCAGGGTTACAAACACATTTACAGATATTAACAGTGGCTTGCAAATGGGTGTAAGGTGCTTGTGTTGACAAAGCTCCTCTTGTGCACCACAACCAGCAGTACAACTAAGATTTCATCAACTTAAGGGCAGAAACATTCGGAATACAGCAAACTACATCTGTTCCCGTACAGCAGTCTCCTCATTGTCTTAATTTTCATCGCAACTATCTTTTCCAAGACTACAGAACAACTCAGCTGACCTTATTGATTAGACTTGTGCTGTTTTTAGTTTACATAGTCTCTTTGAGTAAAGCAGTAAAATACCTGACTGCAAACAAGTGACTAACTGACGGCACTCTCCAATGAGGTTCCAGACTCAATAGTACTACAGGTACTGAGGCTGTAGGAAAACACACACACACAAAAGCTGTCTTTACAGTACCCCTACAGAAAACTTTCAATTACCTTTAGGATGGGATTCTCCTTATTATGTCTCTGTGATTTTAAGAAACAGGAAAAGGGACAGAAATGAGCAATTGCTAAAATGGTCACAGAAGAATGATTTCACAAGATGGGACAGGAGAGAACAGTGTGTCATGATTTAATTCCATTAGAGAACAAACATCCTGAGGAGACAAAGCTGGTGCCAAAACTACCTCCTTCTAATTCAATCAACCTGTTAAATGTTGGCTGAGTCATCCCCCCAGCCCCCAAAAAAATGAAGCAAAAAAAAATGTAGGTCCGAGATCTGTGTCCCTGACACGATCAGAATGAGTAAAACCACTATTGTTCCAAAGTCTTAATTGGCCACCTGTAAGGGGAATGACTAGACCAAGAGAACTGCTAACAAGAGACGTGGCAAATACCTTTAGTGGGTAGTGCCTGCACTTTCAAGCTTTGTGTTAAATTCTCTTCCTGACTCTTGTATCTTACCTCTGGTATTACCTCAATCTTTGGGAAAGAAATGCTGCAACAGTATCATCTCTAACAGGCTGTGGAGGTAGAGTGAGAAGGAAAATACCCTGGGCCAGTGCAGGAAGGAAGCTTGAGGAACCAATTGCAGGTGAACTGGACGGTCAGACACAGGACAGACTGCAGCATCAACACAGACCTTACATTTTTCAGTTCAGTGTCTGAGCAGGCACAGAACATGAGTGTCCACCCAGGTCTTTTTAATGTTCAGGCCTTGTTTATAAATTAAGCAGTATCAGCCCAGTAGTATACTTGAACATTTGGACACAAATGACAAAAAGGTTTAGTTAAAAAATGAGCAATTTTACATCTTCTCACTCTTCATGGAAGCACAGCAAGTTAACCCTAAAATGTGGAACAAGACTCTGCTTATACACAGGGTTCCACAGATAACCAGGCTTATCAACAAAACAGCAGCAGACAATGCAAAAGAAGAGATGTCAAATAGAGTCCAGGTTGTATCTCAGTGCCACAGGCAGGAGGAAGCTGCTGGGCCCTTTGTACACCTGGATTAAAGGCATGAGGGCATGAACACCACAGGCACAGCTACAGTAGATCATTGTGTCAAAAAATGTCATCCTGCTCACAAAGCTGCAGAAGCCATATGGACAATCCCTCAGAGAAGAATTCCAAGACTTACATATTCAATGTACTAGAAAAAAATATTTTGGTCTTACTTTAAGATTAACTTTCTGCAAAAGGAGACCAGACTAGAATCTGTGCTGTTGATCTTAATTACACTGGTACAGGTAGCTCATGCTGCTGGTGGTTAGACTTTTGGCTACCACCCAGTAGAGCATTTCTACCAGCTCCATCCAAGTTTTCTTAGCCTGAAATATTAATCAAAAACAGCACTCTAAAACAAATATCACTATTTAATACAACTACAGACACACACATTAATACTGGGGTGAAATTTCAGAAACAGTTGCCTTTGCAGAAAGTCAATTTACATAGCAAGACCAAAATTTTCATTTCTGCGATGAGTTTATATGCGTTGCCCCTAGGAGGGGCAACTGCAAATCAGTTAACTGTGACAATCAGGAAAGGTACCTTGTACCTTTTGGATCAAGTCACTGGGACACTGCAATTAAAGGCTACGTCTTAACGTGCACTGGGGGAATGGAGGGAGGGAATGGATGACAGCAGAGGTAGCAGGAATGCATGCAACCCAATAGCTTTACAGAATGAGCTGCATATCCATGCATAAGGAAGACTGAGTGAAATCACACATATTAAACCACTCAGTTTCTCAAAATAAAACAATATTGTCACTGTGCTGTGTCTGAAAGTTAAATCTAACTACCTCCTTTCATCTACACGGCTGAACTGAGAGTACTTCACCCTAAGAGAACCTTAATCCCCATCCCAAATCCCTGTTCATAACCTACAGACTTGTCAATTGATGTAATTTTAAAAGTCAGCCACAGAAATTGGTGGTAAAGCTGGGAAGAAAGGAAATATAATTCAAATAACAGTACAGAATTTCCTCCCTGCTCCATAATCTCCCTTTTTTTGCCACTGCTGAGGAGTTTTGTGTTCTCAGCTCCTTTCTGTTCCCTCTGTACACAAAGTTAATCTTAACAGCTTTACACTTTTTCCCTCAGGCACATCCTAGAGGTCTCTGATGACCACCAATGATATTCACCTGTGCTGATGGCCACCCCCACCCTCCACCTCCTCAGGAACAGTCAGAGGTGGAGGAAATTATTCTCAGTAGTGTTACAGGCATTGCTGATGTGTTCCCCTCATTCTTCCATTCCCCTTACAGTGCCCTGCTGAGCAGAACCAACTTGAGTGTCACAGCCCTGTGCTACTGCAAGAGTTTATTTGTGCTGAACAACTCCTGGAACTGGCTAGACTGGCTTTTGGATAAACAAGATGAAAGGGGAGTGGCACAAGGTGTCCTAGGAATCTGTCTACATTCAACCCAAGAAAAAGCCAGTGTCTTACCTGCTTCAGTCACAGTTAGGAAGAAAACTGCCATAAGAAGTTCTTTCACTCCATGATTCTACTACTAGGTTTGTCCCAGTTATGAGGAATATCACATGTGTAAACAGGGACACTGACCTCTGCAGTGGAGCACAGAGCAGGAGATGTCCCCTCCCCAGAAGAATACTGGGTAAAGCAATTGTCATTTTACTGCCCTTTAAGCTTCTCTGTAACAGGAACAAAACCAACACGAAAGCATACACCTTATAAAGAGGCCTAAGTCATAAATCTGGATGACCAGAAGGCTTTGTTGCTTCTAAGAAGGGTGTCCTATTTCAAACTCTAATGCAGTTTCCTCTCTTTTGTTTTCTACAGGTTTGGAAAGCAGATAGAAAGGAAGGCAGTTCTCACAATGGCTCTCCTTCAGAAAAGATACCAAGATCAGCAAAAAATAAACCCACAAAGAATAAAGTTTTTACCAACAGGACCCATTACTGTGCCAATTTCCCAGCTACAGGATATTCCTTCTTATTTCTTTGTTTTACTGATGTCTGTGTTCTGCTGTCTTCAGCCAGTTGACTCATGTATTTGGAGGACAAGAAGGAGGGAGGGGGCAGCCAGGGATATAATTTTTAGTGGCTTGCTTTGAGGGAATTTGCCATATGCACATTCTAGAAATATCCCTACTACCTTCTTAAGTTTTCATTACCAAGCAGCTATGATTTCTTCACAGCTAACTACTGAGCATCAATTTAGATTTGGATGAAGCATTTTACTCCACTTGAAGAGATTTCCAGTTTCCCAGTCAAAAGTATCAAATGAAAACATAGTGATTTATTAGGTTCTGTCCTTCTGAGCAGATCATTCACAATTAATATTTCACATTTTGATATGACTGCAAGAGAATTCCACCTTTTTCTTTTTTATTGTGTTTTCAGAGCATGCTAGAGAAAATTCAAGACTCCTAAAACAGAAGAAAATAATCTGTAAAAAGTCATAAACTTCCAGCCAGGTGTAACTTTTGGTCATTCATCTATGCATTACCGAACATGTCGATGTTCTGACACAGCCTATTTAATCACAGTGTTTTCAATGGAATCACAGAATGCAAAAAAGCTTTTCCAGGAAAAACTGTCAGAGTTCCAGTTAAAGGATTCAGATTCCTGCTACATGACTCAATGGCATATGCTCAAACCAGGCAGTGAAAGACAACTGCATTGCAAGGGACACCGCAACCGCTCGCTCTGCGAGAGCCACCAAGCTCTGAGCGCTGGTGGCCACTGCAGCTGCTCAATTACCACAGTTCTGAATTATTTTTTAAAGGCCTGCAGAGCTACAAACAACTTCAACCATCAGGTTTGTCCCTGCATTGCCTTTCACTAACTAGATCATGATCAGAATACTAGAACCTTGGTCAAAATCTACTACCACTAAAATTCAAGCTTTTTCTGTTTAAGCTTAGCCTCAGAACTTTGTTCCTAATAATCAATGCAAATATTTAAAATCAATTTATCCTCAATTTATCAAAATAAGCTGCATTTGCTATAAACAGTGGATGTAGCCTGGTTCAGAGAAGATAATTTCTACAAATGTATGGTGAGATTCCTTCCTAGTTTAAGGAAAACCAAAAAGCAACCCTACATAACTTGCTCTCAACTATACACAATGCACTTAGCATATAATTTTACTAGCCAGTTCACACTTCCTTCTATGTGGACAGTCACAATTCTTTTTTCAAATAATCTAAATGCAAATTTGTAATTCAAAACCGTACAGCACATGAAGCCACTTAAATTTAGAAGCAATTTTCAACTTCATGTGCTGCTAAAAGTTTTCAGAATACAGCTACTAAAAATTTTTAGCTTCTGAACTGTAAAGCAATGAGCAATGTTTGGCAATCTCACAGAACTTTATACTAAACAAACACATTCTTTTAGCATGAAAAACTCTACTCCTTGAACCTCCAAAGCCAATTCCAGCCATGTAAACCCAATTTTTTCTTCCAGCTTGCCATGCAAAGTTCCTAGTGATACTGCACACAGCAAGGTCAGTAAGACAACTGAACAGTAGTCTGAATCCATCTTATTAGCTAAGGAGTCCCTTCAACACATTTCACTGCAAGAGGACAAGACCTTAACAAGAAATATTCAAATTCTAACACACCCTCAGAAAAAGAAACACAATAATTTAAGACATAATATACAACTGTAAGGCAAGAGTAGAAGTTTGTCAGTCACCGATTCTGACCAAGAAATCAAATAACCTTTCTTAGAAAATGCATTAAATTCTCATGTATCTACAATTAAGCTATGAGAACAATTTTTCCCAGGTTTTGAGCAACTTGGGGATATTACTAAAGATGATATCCACGCATGGTGCTTCCTCTACCACCACACATTCATCTTCTGACTGAAATGGATTACATTTTATCTGCTGTGAGAAAAGAGGCTGTACACATAAAACTGAATCTTTCCACTACATGCTACAAATTCCAGCTCTGGAACTTCCTAGAACATTCTGAAATACTATAAATATAGAAAAGTAATAATTTTGAAATGTTGCCAGCAGCCACTATTTTCTCAATAGAAACCTAACTAAAACATTCCACAATATTCAGAAATATGCAGACACATCTGATAGAAGCAGCCTGGTCATTTCAAGAACCCCAAATCCTGACAACCATTTCAAGTATTCAAGTCAATCTGAAGAACAAATATTCAGTATTTGCATGGAGAATATCCTGCAAGAAACTATTTCTGCTTCCTAAAGAGAGCTATTCAGTACTTCAATGTCTAATAGAACCAGAGTAAAGTTTCAGCATGTTTTAAAGTAAAGGAGAACACCATTCTAAGCACACGATGAGTAGAAACATATAAGTAACAGTTTAGAATTGGAACACTATGTACACTCAGGAGTATCACTTAAACATTTGCTTTCAAAAAAAAATTTATGAACTCCTCAGCAGGTCTCAGATAGCATTACAGTAACTTTGATAAATGATAGTAAAACATAAGAGTATCAATAGGTAGAACCACCCATCACTTCAGATAAAACCCTGTTTTCAGCTGTTTGTAATGTGCTTTTACACATTTCCAGGTCAGACAGTCTGAAGCAGGAAGCAAGCCCTACAGAACTATTTACCAGGAGCCTTCAAAACTCATAGTTCAATGGCTTTAGTGAAAGTAATTGTGGGATGAGGCTGTGCTGTTATTCCTGCAGCACAAACACACTACAGAGTAACAGGACAAAACCTGTAAAAAGCAGCAAGATCAAAAAGGTGAAACGGGAATAAATGCAAATGTCACTACAGGACACCAAACAACACAACGCAGACTCGCTGCTCTTTCCAAGGTAAAAACGGAAGTTTATTTTCTGACTCCAACATTTATAGATTTCCAAAAGTGACGGTGGATTGGAGGGTGAAAGTGCCACCTCTCCAATGACACTGGACAAAACCAACAGTCCATCAAATTTCTCTTCCTCCATAAAAGAATGCAAAACAATAAGCTATTTACATGAAGTGTGTGAGAAAGTTTGTTACAAGAATGTAAACATCAGAAGGCTTAGAAAATCTTTAAAAATTAGGGTGACATGCAAACACTGAACACCAAGATCCAGCTAACCAAGAAGCCAGACCACCTAGCAGCTGCCTGGAAAAAGGTACACTGTTTCTCTACTAGGTAGTAAGGATGACAACATGTGACTGTCCACCTGCTCTGAGCATCAGAATCGTGCACCCAAGCTCTGCCAGCTGCTACAAAAATGAAAAAGAATGTGGCTTTACAGGTGTTTTGCTTTCATCTTGGGACAATGTGGCAGCGGCAGCCAGAGACCGGCAGCAGCCGTGCTCAGCGAGCGGACGCGCAGCACTCAGCGGCGCCAGCCCCGGAGGCGCTCGAGGGGACGGGGCCGAGCCCGGCGCGGCAGCGGCTCCGGGGCGGCCTCGCGGCTGCCCTCTGCTGGCCACGGGCTGCACTGCCCCGCCCCGCCCCGCCCCGCCCCGCGCGAGGCACGCCAGCGCCGCCGGAAAGTAAAAGTCACCTTGGCACTCAGGTCAGCCTATTGATACGCAAACCAGGGACAATTCGACTCCCCCGAGAAAATCCAAGCAGTATAGTTACCGACTGTGAAACTGCAATTATCAGTGGCACTTGAAAGTGCGTGATTTAAGAACTTCAGCTTAAGAAGCAGGTGAAAAAGAACAGGAAGTGGCATTGCCAACTAAATCCTGTAGCTTTACTATTTTGTACTGAACAACCCCAACGCAGCATTTCACTTACTGGATCTTTAGGTGCTCAGAAATTTAAGGCTACTAACATTAAAGAAATATTCTGTCATGTAAAATCACGGAATTGTTAGGCTTGGAAGGGACCTCTAAAGACCATCTAGTCCAATCCCAAGGCAGGGTTACCTAGAGCAATGAGTGATGCAGTCTATCAATTAATTTATTTAGGTCCAGTCTTACCTAATGGAACTGGGGACAGGAAGGCAATGAAGAACTCACTGCTGAATATAAAACCCTGTTATTTTAGTTCAGAACACAGTAGCTGATGCTGTGTTAAATCCCTTGTTTTACAAGATAATTAAATAGAATTATAAGCCATACTAAATCTACCATTTTGCCTAACAATTTCATAATTAAACCACTGAAAAGAACACCATTTTAAAGCTCCATTGTTCCTACTTACCTAGCAAATTCAGCCAATTGCTTGGGGTCTGAGAGGTCAATGCCAGGTATTCCACCAGGAGGAAGTTTCTTCCCTGTCATGTATTCTGAGTAATCTGGAGGAGAATTCTCTCCAATGATCTGCTCTTCCACCACTGTTTCATGGTCAATATCCTTTTTATCATCTGAAATACAGAAAATACTGAATTCAATATATACTAAAAAAAGATCAAAACAGCATAAAATTATTAGGTTATATCTCAATACAAATTCACTATTGCTGCACATTGAAAAGAATACACTGCACTTCCAGATTTCCACACTAATTGTGAAGAGCAAAAAGACACCCATACAGTTACAGCCTGAAGAACACAAAGAACACAGTGAGTGAGGAAAAAAAGAAGAAATTGCATATCTACTTTAAGCACAAACAAATACAGAAATTAGTAGAACAATCCTATAAATGTTGGCTGCACTTAAAAGATAATGTACTTTTCCTGAGACAATGCCTAAATACCTATTTCCCTTAACCTCTTCAGGACTGATCTCCACTATACCCATGCTGATACTCAGCAGCAGTCCCTAACTTTGCAAGCCTATCAGAAGAGCAGCACTTACCCTAAGATGTCAGGACTACTGATCTTTACTTCAGAGTCTTCAGACTTCCCTGACCTCCAATAGAAATGTCATAGAAACAAGAAAGTTAAAAATAACTGCTGATGGGCTTCAGTACCTGCCTGTAAAATTAAGTTTTCCTCAAAGACTTGCAGACAGATCTCAAAGAAAGCAAATAAATCATGTGTCTCTCTCCCAAGGGGGCTTCTTCCTTCTGTGGCAAAGGCCAGCCTAAGCTCTTTCCCACTCCACTATGTAAACAGCAGACTGGGATTATTCAAGGCTTTGATCTGCAAGCCAGTTAAGATACTCTGGTTTGCTCTAGAGCTCCTCCTATGAATTTGTGCTCAAGGACTGCAGTGAAATCAGGTGGAAGACCTGCTGTTGCTGTCTACTCACATTCATACCTTAGAAAACATTGTACCATGCATTCTATCTCCTCTTGCTATTTTATAACAGAAACTGAGAGACACAACAATGAGAGAGAACAGAAACATCCATCTATGCTCCTCACTGCAGTGTTCACAGCAGCAGAAAGGAAGACACAGCACCTACCCTGTTTTCCACCCTCAAATACACCTGGGACAACAGATGTATATATGGCTGTAACTACTCAGCTCAATGTAATACAGCTTGACAGTACTTCTACTACCCGTATGGGGAGAAGATTCTGGAAATTGTTTTATACACAAGAGGCTACACAAAAATAACGGGAAGTTTTATTTTACATATATTGTTTAAGCAGTGGAAACACAAGGTGATAGGACAGAAATGATATTTCACCAAATAAAAAAAGATAGGAAAACATAAGGCAGAAAACAAAAGACAAAATGTTCGGGATTTTTCCCCTAAACAGAAACACAGGAAATAACATTAGTCATTACTCAGTAACTTAAGCTAGGGAAGAGAGAACAAGGCAAGCAAATAAAAGAAATATACCAGAAACTAATTTCTATTCATTTGTAATGCTCGCTTTTAATGTTTGCCACCAAGCTATTTCTAGAAATGTTACTGCTAGTTTGAGGTTTAATCTGATCTACCAGATCAAATAGCAGTTCATGTATATTCCATGGTGAAAGAGGAAAACAGTCTCCAATGCTGCAAAGACAGAAGTATAAATAAGAAAATACTATCTGCAGCGTTAAACTCAAAATAAACCACAAAACTGACTATTGACCTTTTTAGTTGTCCACTCACCACCACACTACCTTTCAGACCCTACCAGTGATTTAAAAAAGCAATTGAATTTACCTTAAGCGAAGATTATATGTTAAATTTTACAGCAATTGAAGGAGTTACAAATTCAAGCCAATAAGCCTCTAGTTTGGCAACAACTTGCTCTTTCAAACAGAAACTTGAAAAAAGACTGGGAGCTAAGAATGGCGCAGAATTGTTGCAAAGCTAAACGTGACACCTTCTCTATGCTGAGACTAGAATGAGATCAGCTGCCCTCAATGTGGCCATTTCAACATCTACCTAGAATGTGCAGTTTGACTGTTTGATGACACTCATACTCAAGTTTTCATTTCCTGCCTCACATCAGATGAGTCAACTAGGAAATTCTGTATACATTCTTAAAGATCTTCTTTCTTTCTCCAGCACAAAGGTTTGCTATTCCACAGTGCTTTTTTGCTATTTGAGGACCAAACTGAAAGCCAGCCTTCAGTGGCTTTACTTCCCAAAAGCTTGCCAACAGAAGTCAATTCCATAGCTATATAATTCCACAGACTACTGGAGCAAAACAAAAAACTATAAACATATTGCTTGGATACAACAAAACATAAGAAAAATGACTGTTTAATATATTAACAGTTATATGAAAATAAAAAAAACCCCACGTTTTTCTATAACAAAAAACTGCGCCTCTACAGCAGCACACATTTCCAAAAACAAATTTAAACCAAAACAATAAAATATAAAACAGTTACCCTGAAGTGTAATATTAGGCTAATATTTCTGCAAAAGTAGCAGCAGACTTCAGTACCTCTTTAGCATCATGACCATCCTGTGACATTATCAGGTCATTGGGAAAACAAAACAAAAACACACAAAATAAACCCCCCATACACACACACTTTTGGAGGAAGTCTGGAAATTGAAAAATTTTACCAACGTCCTCTATGCACAAATTTACTTTATTTGTGATGACCTATCAACCTGGACTAGGCAGCTCAAAGTCTGCAGGGTAAAGTGCAAGCAAACTTTCACTCAGGCTGAACCAATCATTCTCACTGCAAACTGGACAAGTTAACTGTTTGCTGTTTTTTGCGTTCAAGCAAGTCCTAATGCCCACTACAGGCAAATTACCTCTCCCTTTTCCTCTCATGAAGCATCAGAGAATCAAACATACTGCGTCCAAAGCAAAGCAAAACACAGACACAACCCTGAAATTACAGTGACACCTCTGGATGCCACCCATGGGAGTTATATACAGACAGAACCACAGAGCCAGTCAGGTAAAGGAAATTAAGTACTATATATACTGTCTGATCTACTTTGTTTTGTCCCTTACAACCACGTGAGACTAGAGCAGACTCAAATATAAGGCATTCAGCTGAAGCACTATTCTTACAGATCCAACGCAGCTTTCTGTAATGAACTTGGAACACAATTTTAATGGACTCCCCCTGCATTCTTCTATGCCAGCCTGCATTAAGGCAGATACTTAGTCTAAACTGGGTTGTTCTATGCATTCTTTTAGGACATACCCTAACACACCTTCATGTTCAGTGCCCTTCCATCTGCACATCTCTCACTGCCCCCTAAATATGGGCAATATACATATTGAACCAGATCCACTTAGGCCCTTCATAGCAAGTATGTCAAACATTTTTCTGCTAAGATCAATGAAAGTTCAGTGTTTAGCCAGTTGTGTCTTGTGACTAGTGGTGAAACAACCTGAAGTTTTAAGAGAACCAAGCCCAAGTATTGGGCTTCATTCAAGTATGAATGAAGTAGGAAGAACCAAGATTACTGGAATGAAACTACTAACTCCATGCAACAAATCAATAACAAAACATGGTAGAATCTGCTTCCCAATACTTTATTGATCACATCTTGCTCCTATGACCACAATTTCTCCATCTCTTACAGCCCTTCTATTACACAAAAAAATCCACCCACCCTGGAATCCCATTATTTTGTGCATTTCTTGAGTTGCAGCTGACAACTCTGGAACTCCCCAGCTTGCTAAGATGACCCTCTTAACTCTCAACCCAAGAAGCTCTGTCACTATTTTTTCTAAGTTTTATTCATGATTTTCCTTGTTATTCTTGATTTTATCTAAATTACCAAATCTCTGAGCCATCCTCCTTCTCTATTACTGAGAAAGGAAAACACATTGTTGTTCAATCAGTTTTCATCTGAGGAAAACAGGGTGCAAAAGAGAACTTTCGAGATACACCTGGTAGCAAAGCAATGACACCTGATCCTACAGCTTCCTCCTCAAGGCACCAAATTAAAAGACATTCTACTTAGCTACTAAAAGGATGAACATTTAAGCTTAAAATATGATCACACAGTTAAACACATTTGCTTTTAGGAACAGCTGAAAAGCAATTACAGGATAAAGGATGTATTCGGCAGCTGTGCAGCACCAAGGCACTGTGGTAACAGCTTGGTTATTGCTACCACATTGCAATCTCCTCAGGCAAATTAGTTCATTGGTCATGTTTGGAAGCAAAGAACCGTAATTAGCTTGTTAAATAATACAGTTATTTAGCAGACACTTCTGAATGTTAAAATTCCATTTTGCACAGTATGTCATTTTTTAACCTAAACGGCTGCTAGGTTACTTTCCTTCTGACGTGCCTTGCACACAGATGGAGAACAGGTTCTTCTTTCCCTGTGTCACCCATCTCTTATTTCACACCACTGAGACGTGAACTGACAAAACCAGTGCATATATCAACAGCCATCATCTGACTCCAGCACTTAGGAGACTGTGCTGAAGCACTGTGACCTTCTGAATGGTCAGCACAGGAGTGACTTGAGTGCCCCAGGGAAGGAACCAACAGCAGTTTAGAGGATTGTAGTCTGAAGGTGGGCTAAGAAGCAAATTAACTGAGTCATTTTAGATGGTGAACCACATTTGTGTATTTCGCTTTCAAAACTGAAAATACATTTAAAGCAAACGCAGAGAACAGTCTACCTTATCACTGGAAAAAATGTCAGGGCAGATTCAATACTTACAACAGAAGCCTGTATCATTGTCTTAATCTGAGTCAGAAATAGATTGTCATCTTAATATTTTAAACTGGAAAATCACTTTCTGCCTCCATTATAACAAACTTTGTAAGAAGCTCATTACCTATCTGACACTGCAAAGCATTTCAGCCATCCCTGATATAGCCCCACAACTGAACTAAGTGACTCATCTATCATTTATACTACAAAAGACAAGTGGTCAGACAGCAGATGGTTATTTTTCTCACCCCTGCAGTCTGATGAAGTAAAATGAAAACCTTTCTATTTTTTGAGTCATTGAAAGTTTAAGAGATTTTGAAGAACCTTCTAGAAACCCAATATGAACTCTCAAACTTCCAAATAAGGGTCCACAACACAGGTTTCCTGTATTATGGAAAATAATTTCCAAAAGATACATGTAACTTCTGTGTCTTTGTCTTTCCCATCTAGGGATGGGACACTTGAGCAGTTTAACATCTGTGGGCAATATTTGGTTGTGCTACTTCAGCCTTTAGCTTGCAGACTATGCTTACAGTAACAGTTTAAGCCAACACTTATTTCAGGTTTGGAAGCTTGACAGAGTCGTTACCTAGAAGATGTAGTTATACTAATCCATTTTTTCATCTTTGAATTTAAGCCCCAATTGCTTGAAATTTCCAGCATTTGGTGCAACCAGCATTTAAGCACCACCTTCCCAAATGTTCCTGCATGCAAGAATCAGTTTTGCAAGCACCATCTGACAAAGTGATTTCTCACGATCCTTCCCCTCCCCCTTCACTATTGTGCACCCAACCTGGAAAACCTCACTAAAGACAACAATTCAAGCTGAATGCAGCAAAGGTACAAATAAATTCCATTTGATAAGAACATTTTTTCTAGTACAAACTGGGGTGTCTCACCTGGACTAGATGCGATTTAACTATATGCAATTTTCTGATACATATATTTGATATAAAGTAAACACACTACAAGAATGTGGTTGAACTATCCACCATATGCCCTCTTCAATCCTTTCAGAAATGCACCTTCATTCACTTCTTACTTCCATGAACACACGAATAAAGACAAATAATTGTATTCTTAAATACTGAAACTAGATCTGAACTAGAACAAGGCACTCATGTTTCAAACTAAACACTTTAATCATGGGTCACAAGTTTGGTATCACCATAGATACCAAGGTGATAAGAGAAGTTATGCGAAGTCAAAATTGTTGCCAACAACAGTACTGCAATTTCTGAGAAACCACATAATAAGACAAGGATTAAGCAGCCCCCTTTAGTCACGTTGCTATATATTTCACAGATTATTCCTACACATTTCAAGAGGTGCTACAAGACATGTTATATTAATTTATGGAAAGAGATTTATGATTGGTTAAATTTAGTACCACCCCTGTACAAGCCAATGTAGCAGCACCAGCAAACAGTAACAAGGAATTAATTCACATTGTCTTCCCACACTGTGGTGAGCCAAGTAGCCTTCTTCCCAATTCAAAATCCCATGCACAGCAATACAGGGCTCATTGTTTTGTCTTCATGCATGGCCTTATTTATCACTTGTCTTTTGATTAACTTTTCACTTAGCTTTTAAAACAGTCAAGTGAATCAGTGTGGAAGCAAATCTGTAATTATGTCAAAATACAGATTCAAACCTACTATATTTCTTCAAAATAAAGTAGTTTAATTCTTCAGGGAAACTTTACAACTACACTTTTGCAATCCAGTGATTCTAGGTTTTTTTGGCCTTTATTTAGTTTGAGGTTTTTGGGGGAGGGTACCCAGGTTGGGGTTTTTTTTGGGTTTGGGTGTATACCCCTCTGCCTCAAGTTTTGTTTCTTTTTTGACTTCTCTGGCAACAATTCAGCCTCTGATGTTTCAAGCCAAAAAAAAGGCAAAATATATATATTTATTTTTTTAAAAGAGAGGAAAAAAAAATCCCCAGCATTTGACCACATCAGCCCCCTTTAAATAAATAAGCTGCATATGACAATGTAAGAGCCTGCCCAATATTCTCAGTAAAACTTCACAACACTCTCAACTGAGCAGGTTATTATCAAGGCTGTTTGAAGCTGGCAGGTGGTGTCTGCAAGTGCAAAGGGAGGGGAAGTCAAACTTTTTCCCCATATATTTGATTTTGCTTTTAGAAGGGCATTTTCTGGCAAGTCAAGTCAGACCAGGTATTCTTTATTCTTCTGCATCATGGATATAATTGAGTTAAATGTAGCAATGCAATTCAATGTTCAGTAAATTATAAGTGGGTATCATTCCTACTGAGCTCCATGGTCGTGCTCCTAAACAAGAAAACCACCAAAATCAACAAGGCTACCCCTGACATAAAAGCTGTGTATGTGGGAAGACAAGCAAATTTATTGATTATACACATGCTTCACTCTGGCCAAGTAATAATTAGCATGCAGTCCTAAGGAAGCATCCTACCAGGCACTCTGAATTTTCGAGTGCAAATGCATGCTAGAAATTGTCAATTGATCTCAGCGAGGTCCTGCATCCTGCCAGCTCATGAGTCATACAGCCACTTGCACTCAGCTACCTCCAGCAGCTTCCACAAGCCTGCAGACCGTATTATTTTCTATTATCTTTTATCTCTCTTGGATGGTCAGTTCTAATAAAACTATTAGCAAGGGAATTTATTCAGTTTCATACAGTGATACAGAAGCACAGAGAACGCCATCCTAAACAGTATATGGAAAACTCTTCATCAAGAAGTAAAAAATTTCAAACTCATTGGGTTGTCAACTCACATGCCAATAGCGTCAGATAACTCTGTGAAACTTGCTAAAGTAGTCACCTGTATTTAAAACGAGAGCAAAAATCCATACCACTGTGCTTTCTATCTTTCAGGCAGGAGAACTCAGCTGTCCAATACACCTTCCCTTCTACACTGTCCTTTCTACAAAACTTCTAGTCATTTGCAAGCATCACAGAGTACAAACATTTTCGACTACATCAAAAGGTTCAAGAGTATCTCTATCTTACTAGACTCCTGAAAAATTCGAAAGAGCACAAAAATTATGGTATGAAAGACAGATTACCAACTTACTATTCAAAAAACACCCATCAATTTAAATATTACAAGAACAGTATTATTTGACCTCTTTTTTTCACGCTTATGTAACTTATGGACAGAACTCTGATTACAGAGCATTACTGCTGGCAATAATTTTTGCAAAAATTAAAAAAAAAATAATAAAGTGGGTAGGGCAGGTGCATGTCAGCTTTACTCCAAGCCCCATAGATACTAAATACCTTCACAAGATTTTACTGCCTTTAAAACACACTCCTACACATACAAAAAAAAAAAAATCCTCAAAAAACCAGAATCTCCCACGACAAGGTCTCCCTGTGCCTACTTAAAAAGCTTATTTAAAGCTTCAGACCTAGTCGAGGAAAAGCCCGACGGTTTCCGAGCGCCAGCCAGGAATTGCCCCTTTCCTCCCCGCGGCTCCCAGGGACGGAGGTCAGCTCCGGAGCCGCCCCTCCCGGCCGTCACCCCCGGCGCCCCTCGGGCTCTGAAGGGCCGGTTGTTTGCGGCCGCCCCCTCCGAGCCGGCGGGAGGCGCGGGCAGCCCCGCGGGGGCGAGGAGCCGCTTCCCCTCGCCGGCACCGCGGGCTCCGGGCGGGGAGGCCCCACCCACCGCAGCGGGCCGGGGCCGGGCGGCCCCCGGGCGAGCTGTACACGGTATTTCGGGGTTCGCCGTCCCCGGGCCGGGGAGCCGCGGGGTCGGGGAGGGCGAGTTTTCGCTCGCACATCGCGGTCACGGCCCGGCGCACACGCCTCACCCGCGGCCGCGGGGCGGGAGGGACGGGAGCGGAACGGCAGGCAGGGAGCCGGGGAGGGTCGGCGGGACGGGACACGGGGGAGAAGGAGGACAGAGGGCGGCGGCGGCCGGGGGAGGGGAGGGAGTGCGAGGGGCAGGCGCGGAGCGGGCCCCGCGGGGAGCGGCGGCGGGGCGGGGACGGGGGGAGCGCGGGGAGGTTCGCCCCGCACCCCGCCTCCCCCTGCTGCAGAAACTACGCCATTGCGGCCTGGCCCGGGAGCCGGCGGCGCTGCCGCCCGCCCGCGCACCCCCCGCCGCCGCCATCTTGGCGGCCGCCGCCATGTTTGCCTCCTTCCCCCCGCCGCGGCCGGGCAGGAGCGGCGGCGGCAGCGCAGACCCCGCCATCTTTTCGGGGAGCCGCCATACTTGCCCTGGCGATGAACATGGCGGCGCCCATCGCACACATCAAAACATGGCCTCCCTTCAAAACAAAACTGTCCCGGCCGCACCGCGCGGCCGCTGGCGGGGCCCGCGGCCCAGGGAGGGAGGGGTCCGGAGCACACTTACCCGAGGCCCACATGGTGACCGAGAACTCCCCCTCCAGGGTCTTGATCTGCACCTGCTTCTGCTCCCATTTCCTGCCGCCGCCGCCCTCGGCCCCGCCGCCGCCTCCCCCGCTCAGGTAACTCTTCTTGCTGCTCTTCTTGCCGCTGCCGCCCTTCTTAACGCGGCCTCCTCCGCCGGCCGAGGAGGAGCCGCCGCCTCCGCTCTTGCTGCCAGCGGCGGCCACAGTGACCAGGGTCTGCTCGATGTACTCGTCCTCCCCGGCGGGGGCCGGCACAGGGATGAGGATCTGGTCCTCGAACCCGTCGTCGGCCCGCAGTCCGTCCGAGTCGTCTCCCCCCACCACCTCCTCGCGGGTCTGCACCAGGATCACCTCCTGGTGGTGGTGGTGCAGGTGGAGCTGCCCCCCGCCGCCGCCGGCCGCGCCGCCGCCCGCCCCGCTGGGGTCCCCGTCCGACACCAGCGGCTGCAGCGCGATCATGGGCTGGTGGTGGTGGTAGTGATGGGGCGGGTGGTGCGGGCCGCACTCCTCGCAGCACTCATCCTCCTCCTCCTCCTCCTCGTCCTCCTCGCCGCCCACCACGGTGGTCTCGATGGTCTCCACCGGGATGGTCTCCACCTCGATCTCGTGCAGCTCCACGATCTCGGCCGGCATCTCCGAGCCGTCCGTGGCGATGTACAGGGTGTCTCCCGAGGCCATGGCGGGGCGAGGGGAGGGAAAGAGAGCTCCGCGGGCGGCGAGGGGGCTCCGGTCCGCTCCCCTCGGCGGATGGTGGGGCTCGAGCTCCTTTCCGCCTGCCCTCCTTCTCCTCCTCCTCCCCCTTCCACACAAACACCAGCGCCTCGCAGCCAGCGACAGGCAGGGAGGAGGGAGGGAGGGAGGGAGGCAGCACCGCCAAATCCCGGCCGCGCTCCCTCGCGAGACTTCCGCCGCTGCCGCCGAGACGGACCCCAGCCCCGGAGGCCGCTGCCGCCGGACTCGCCCCCCCGCCGCCAGGCGGCCAATGGCAGCGCCCGCCTCGCCCAGGCGAGAGAAGCGGCCAACGGGGGCGCGCCGTGCCGCAGCGCCCCGCCCCCTCTGCCCTCCTCGTCCTATCACGGGGCGCTGCTAGCGCGGGGCGCACCTCCCGGCGCGGAGCAGCCAATTGGCTCGCGGCGCTGTCTCCGCCCCGCCCCGCGCGGAAGCGCCGCCCCGGCCCCGCCGCCCGCGCGGGCCCCGCAGCTGGCGGGGCCGTTTCCCGGCCGGCCCCGCGGCGAAGGCTGAGCTGAGGGAGCTGGGGCGAGCGCCCAGCTGCGGCTGAGCCTTGGGACGTTTGAATGTTACAGTTGAGCTGTTATCGGCACGTGGGAGTTTTCCCTTCTCCTCCCTTTATTCCTTTTGGAAAGCCCTTTGGAGGGTGGTGTGTTCCCCGCGGCGCGGCGCTTTCCCGCAGCCGTGCACGGAGGTGCGCACGGACGCGCCGGGGGCTCGCGGAGCGCCGGCTCCCGGTGCCGCCGGCAGCCCGGCCTGAAGGCGCGGCCGGCGGGGCCATCGGCGGCCGAGTGCATGAGCTCGCTTACCGAGAAACAGCGTTTAAAATAAGTGAAGCAGTGCACTTCAATCACCGCGCAAAATTCCAGTACGTGAAGTGATCCCCTCATTTAAGCTATCAAGTGTAGGCATTTGCCTTAATTATTAACACATCTCTCCGTCCCCGAACTCCCTTGCTCCCCAGAACCTTTCCGACAGCAACACAACAGTTCGTGCCTTCCAAATGCAGCAGCTCCGCGCTCCAGTCACACTCCTCTTCCTTCCCCTTCTGCCAGCTGCTGCAGGACATCCCTTCCTTACCCCGTCAAGGATCTGCCGTGTGCAGAGCTGCCGAGGGAAAAGTAGCACTCGTGAATGTATTGCGTTTGGTTATTCGCTTTGTAGGGGGTCGGGCGTAAATCAGGAGCAGAATTTTGGAAGAGGCAGCTGCCCGTCTTGATGTGAAGTAGCAGATGTTATGGGTAGGAGATGCGGAGCTGTGGACTGAGTAATTGTAAAATATTCTCTACAGGTAGCCAGAAGTCCTTCACAAGGACTGTTATCTTCAGTCATACGTTAACGTGCGGGTGGCTCTACAAGTATGTACACCTTTTAAAAAAAAAGGACGTTGTGGATTTTACAAAGTAAATTAGTACCATCGAAGGTGAGGGTTTTTAAAACAAGTCTCACAGGCCTTCTGTACTCAGAGCAAGATTATCTCCTCTTTCTCGCTCCTCCTTTTTTTCCTAGCTGTTATATCACTTTTCCTTCCCCTTGTTAACTACATGTTAACTACCTGTTAACTACAAGTGTAGGTTTGCCTCGTGAGTATTTCAAAGGCTGCTGCAAGTATACACTCCATTTTAACCTTCACTTCTCAGTACACCATTGCTTTGTTTGCTCATATCCCAAATTGCCACGATATAAAAACTGATAAAAGGTTCCTGCTAATAAATACATTTTTCTGCTACCTTATCATCAAGTGTTCTACAAGTCAGTCTAGTCCAAGTCTCAAGACACCAGTACTGAGCTTTGCCCTAATGATGAGATTAGGAAATACTTTCCTATTAACTATTAGAAATAGCAACATATTTACTTGCGGAGATCTGGAATTTCCTTCTGTCCAGTCATGCTCAGCACTCCCATTTTAACAAACTACAAGACGTAGTTTATCATGGCAAAATTCTCACAAACTGAAAGGCTGTTTTTAGATCCTGTAAAGAGATTTCCAGAACTCTACATATAAATCTGCTTCTCTGTTTACAGCGGGAAGGACAAGTGTACCAGCGTGGGAAAAATGGTTCTGTAGCTTTTAAGAACAAGGTTTCAAAATTACTATGAAGTCTCTGTAGACCCTCCATAAAAGTTAACCTTAATTAAAAAAAAAAAAAAAAAAAAAAAAAAGGAGTCATTATGGGGGTCTTTTCTTTTTCTTTTTTTTTTTTTTTGGAGAAATACATCACTCAGTTATACTTTACATTCTAAGCCTGCATCGAGAAATATTATAAATAATATAATATGACATTATAAATGTCACCTACATGTTAGACATGCGCTCAGTCCTACTCTTAAATTCCCATTAGAGCTGACATTGGCATCAGAGCAAGTGGGACTGGGCCTCCGTGGATTATTTTGGGTGAAGGGTTTTTTTTGGTGTTAGTGTAAATGAGCTTTGTCAAATACAAGAACAAAGTCACAAGTTTCTCGTGTTTATAGAGATAAAATTTTTTGTTCAGGTCAGTGATAATAGTTAAATAATCTTGCGCAACCTTGTTTCATTTTTGTGGTTTTCTTTTTTTTTTACTGCAAGCAATTATATAATTTCAGAAAAGGCACTTTCAAGTTTGTAAGTCTCGCAACCACCTCATTTTCAATTGTGTTCTATTTATCCTGAATGAGATGATTTGCTTAACTTACATTATTTTCCATTAACAGCTTGACAGAAAACCACAGCAACAAGGAAAAATAAAGACCTGAAAGCTGCCGAGTGAAAAGGTGTTAAAAAGAAAACTTTGTCCCCTATCCAAATAGCAGCAGAATTTATCCCCTTAATAATCTCTTATCATCTTGCCCTATGCTCCCCATTTTGCTCCCCACGTTCAGAACTCCAGTTTGTTTCCTAGACACATTTAAAAAAGCAAGGCATAAAAAGGTTTAATTTAAAAAACGTAAACCATCCATTGGAAATAAAAGTTATTTTTAATCATCCCTAACAAGTGTTTAAGAATATATATTCTTATATTCTGTTATATTATTCTATTTTGTAAGCTCTAGATGCCTCAGATTTAGCTGTTTTATTGTGTGGGGGGGAGAGGTTGAGGGTATTTTTCCCTGGTTTCTTCCCTTAATTCTGCTGCAGGAAATTTTAGTCCACCATCAGTCTGCAGAAACCAAATTTCCAGTTTTCACACGCACACACCCACCAGCACTGTTTTACCTCCACTCTCTGTTCTTGCCACTGCAAAATTCCTGGTAGTAGTTTCAGGTTCCAAGCACACCTGACTGAAAGAACAAAATGTCATGGGTTTTCTCCTGACAAACCCAGCTTCTGCTGTCCTCACAGCCTTCCTTTCTTTTGGATTGAACTGACTCACACATCTGCTTTTCTTAGCACCGGAATGTGCAGGGAAAGCCTCGGGATTCAAAGAGATGGCAACTTCAAAGCCAGCGCAAACAGTGTAGTAGTTCTGTGCAGAAAATATTTGGACAAGTTAGAAAGCTACATGTTACTGAGAAGTCACCTCTTTTCTTTTTGCTGCAGCGTTGTAAAAAAAGTAGTGCCATCCACATTTACCTGAGCCAGTACCATGCACAGGAAAAGGAAGGCAAGAGAATAAAGGAGAGGAAGGAAAAAGAAGACAAGATGCATGCTCTGAAAGACATTTTTTATGCCTCTGAACTTCCTTCCTTCAGCTTTTAGCTTTTACATATACTTGGCATGAAGTACTACAGAAGATTGTGTGTGCTGGGTTCTCATTTTAGGGTGAAGAGGTACATCCATGTAAGTAGAGAGCTCTGCAGGCAGGTTACTGCTACCACGTGCACGTGTATGATGGCATACAAGGATAATTTGAAAAATCATGTTTTGTTTCAATTAACCCCAAAGAATACTAAGCTGAGAGACACTGACTTTCTCAGTTTCACAGAATCACAGAAGAGCAGAGCTGAGATTGCAAGGGATTTCTAGACAAATTCTAGTCTAAGCCCCAGCTCAAAAGTGGGGTCAAATATAGCAAATTGTTCAGAGTTGTGTTCAGCCAAGCTTTGAATATCTCCAATAATGGTGACTCCACAGGCTCTCTGGCCAACTTGTTTGACTGAAAGAAGCTCTTCCCTTATGTTTAATGAAAACTTTGTGTATTGCCAATTTGTGCCTGTAGCCTCATGTCCTTTCACTGGGCACCATTAGACATGGCTAATTTTTTCTTTCTAATTAAAAATTTTTTTGGTACTTTTATTTTGCAATTCCTGGAATGCTTAAAGCATTTGTTAAATGCAGACTACCTGCAGAGAAATCAGTAGTGCTGCTCATAGCACAAAAAGATATAGGGTGCTTGAGGCATTGCAGCACCCTGGTTTGGGAGAACTCATAACCCATCTCTCAGATATGCTAAGTTTAAGTTATCTCCCTATGTGTATATATATATATGTATTACACACCATATATATTATCAGCAGATAATGGTCAGTACTCAACATCATTAGCCACTCAATCAATATAATGCTTTTGCTCTTGTGCAAATTTTTCTTGTGGTGAACTAGTTGTTTGCAGCTTCCAGAACCACAGTTGTCACTGCTGTGCAGTCCAGCTTTGTGTATAGTATCTGGTTGTGTGATATTTATGTGAAGAGCTGTTTCTTGTTTCATACTACAGAACTAATTGTCCTGACCCTTAGCTGTACCTAGCCCAAAACAGGTAGCTCTTCTTTTGAAAATAATTACTTGGCAAGTACAGAAGTCTGCTGTATTTGAAGAAAAGAAAAGTCACACAAACCAAGTTTTCACAAAGTACATGTGAACTAACAAAATCAGTGCTTGTTTTCTAAATATTGGAGTGATTTTTGTGGGTTTTTTTTTTTTTTACTCTTATTCCTGCCCTCTTCATTTCACACCAAAACAAAGGGAAGATATTTGAAGTGTGAAACTTGTGAAATAAGTGAGGTTTTCACAGCCAGCATCTACAGCCTTCTCTCTTGCCTCTAGCAGAGTTAACACACCCTTTTCCTGATGTGTTTCACCCAGCCTTTCACCGGTTTGGAAAATTTTGATATCCCATTTTTCCTTCTCTTTCTCACACAAACTATTCATCTAACGTTTAAGAAAAAAGAAAGATTACACCTCCCATGTAAGCCAACACCAATCATTAAACTGATAATTCTTACATATCTAGTTGAATATGTGGCTTGGATAGCTTTTCAGATATTTCTCACTCTTGTGTAAAGAAGACCAGATAGAAAGCCACTTACTGGAGGA